AACAAAGACACTTTCAAGAGAAAGATACTGTCTGCTTGGGTGGAACTCTCTACCCAGAGGAAACAATATCTTTAGTTAGCCTCCTAAATTTTGAGTGAGTTGTAGAACTCAGAGCACCCATCTAGAAATTTAGAAAGAGTTCTTCCTAAGCACTGTTCACAGCCTTCGCTGAACATTCAAATAACCTGAGAAGTTTTTTAAAATCCCAATGCCTATACCGGACCAACTGACTCAGAAACTCTGGGGATGGGACCCAGGCATCTATATTTTTTAAAGCTCCGGCAATGGTTCCAGTAGATAGTCAGCTGCTCCCATGGAACTTTGCAAATCCTATTCCAGATTTCTAGATGTGGTCATTAACACAGTGTAGACAAGAGCTGGGTCAGAGACAGGGAAGAATGGTTTAACATATTTGACCATCTTGTCACAATGAATCCTCCATTTCTGATGAAATCCTTTTACCTAGTGACCAGTTCTTCAAAATTAATTTCAACATCTTGGCAAAAGATGAAAAAAATTAAAGAAGTGTATTACATTGCTTCACTGATTTTAGGAAACTGAACCATGGGTCAAATGTGGTGCAAAATAGGGACTTTTTTTAAATGATAGTTTAAAAAGTAAGTAATGCAAAGATTTGGAAGCTATTTTAAGATCCCTTTATTCTGCTAAAGTTATATGTGTTCCAGGGGTCAGAAAGACGAAATACTACAGAAGAAAAAACAGAAAAGTTTAAAAAATAATTTAAGAGTGAGAATGAGGATGTTTTTATACAGAGTGGAAAATTTGTTGGAAAAAAGGAAAAGCAAAAAACCAAGGGCAAGTAGAGCTCTAGGCTCCAGCCCAGGGGCTTTCCCATTAAATATTGCACTGTGACTTGGAGACCTCTCAACTCCGTGAATCTCATTTTCTTCCCTTTTAAGTGGGCGACCTCACCCTGCTGAGTGCCAGTCCTCTCTAGCAGCCAAACATTCTCATTCTATCATGTTTTACTCAAAGTTGAACTGGCTAAAAGTAATTTAAGTCTTGCCCTTCTTGACACGAAGGCAAGAACAGCATTGCTCACCAAAAGGCAAGGTCTGAGGACCCCTCCCAGGCCAGGGTTATTTTTTACTAATCCACAACAGATAAGGATTTGAGAGTAAAGGTTTAGAAACTTTCACAGAAATTGAATAATCTGTCAGGTCACATAACAAAATATTGAGGCTTGTATTTTGCATATCTTTGTGTTATTTCACTTTTCTATTAATTAATTTTATAAAAATATAAGTCCACAACAAAGTAGAACTTGTTTTTCATTGGTCTTTTACCATGGACAGCTTGGGAAACTCTGAGCTAGACCAGTGTTACATTTGAACATCAATGCAAAAGGTGCACACAGAAAAGGTGAATGCGACTAATTTTTACCTTACCCACTTTGGATTCATGTTTTAAAAGTCTATTTCATTTTACTTTAGATTGTTATTATTAAGTTATTTTGTGCCATAGGTTTATCTGCATTGTTAGCAGCTCTTTAAAAGAAAACCGCCTTCACAACATTGTAAATTAACAATACTTCAATAAAAAAAAAAAAAGAAAAAGAAAGTAAACAGTCTATATTAGAAAACAAGTCGTAAAGGGTCGGTTTAGCAATACAGCCGTCCCTCGGTGTGACTGGGGGATTGGTCCCAGGAGCCCCCGCGCATACCAAAGTCTGAGGATGCCCAAGTCCCTTATGTAAAATGGTGTAGTTCAACGAATACAATCAGCTCTCTGAATCTGGGATGTGAAACCCACGGATATGGAGGGCCGAATGTACGAGCTCATTTTCTGGGAGGAACCACAATGTCAGGTAACAGGGAGAAGTGATTAATTTCCTGTTGGGAAAGGGAGGTACTCTCCTTTTCAAGAAGCAAATTAAGTCTCTCGCTCCTGACTGGAAACGGCTATCATAGGGTATGAAACTATTAATGTAGGAACACCCTTGTTTAAATACGAGGAAGCCTGAACAGGGAGGTTCATTTTCCCAAGATCGTGCAGCTAGCACATGGGGAGGCCAGGATTCAAACCCAAGACACTGTACACTAACAATGCCTGTATTCTTTCTGCTGCTCCACCATAAAAATGCTCCAGGGGGAACCCTGAGAGTGAATGCTGATGTCGGCTTCACTTCCAGGTGCCTGAAATCGGGTAATAAATAGTAAAATAATGTGGAGTGCTTATGAATCTCCTTAAACATAAATTTCCTTGTTCTATTTAGAGCTTTCTGCAATAGACAAGATCAGTGTTTGTCCCAGACTGATTTGCACATCACACAGGGAAATACGAGAGGAGAGGAATGTCAGTGCTATCCACACCAGCTGTCTTGAGACTGGTTTGATCTAAGTTACTAATAAACATGCTCTAGAAGCAAACCACCCGGTCCTTTTAGGAAATAAGTGGGATATCAGTTAAAAGTAAGTGAATATGCTTTAGAAATATCAGGTCTTTGCAGAGATTATATAGACACTGTAAGGAATCCAGAGACTGTAGTGTTTAGTTTAATATATGCCTGTTCAGTGAACTAAACAACCTTGCTACTTCAGAGAAACATCTGCACAGGGAACTAAAATTGTGAATCAATTATCTGGCTCTCTTATCTAAACAGTGCCAGGAAAAAAAAATCAGATTTTGAATATATGGACAAAACAAATTTTTTTAGTCTATATTTTTAGCATTGTTTAGTTTTAGCTTGAGAATATAGCATTTTATTCAGCTACATCATTGTTTACCAACAATATTAAAATTAATAATTAAAATTAATAAATATTAAAATTAATAACTCTGGGGGTTTGCCATACTCTAAAACATTTAGCAAAATATTTTATCTTCCCTGTACATGCTCGTGACTTTTTAAAGGCACAGAGTGAACGATCCCTTAGTTCTTGGCACCACTGATTAAAAGTTAATATTTGATAAAGGTATCAAGCTATCAACACTGAAATCTCCTGGTTAGGTGCAATGGTTGTGGCCACTTCAATAACAAGAATAATCCGGATTTTTTTTAAAGCTCCTGGGTGACACTACTTGGCATATACACTGAGAAAACCATAATTCAAAAAGAGTCATGCACCACAATGTTCATTGCAGCTCTATTTACAATACAATAGCCAGGACAGGGAAGCAAACTAAGTGTCCATCGACAAACGAATGGATAAAGAAGATGTGGCACATGCATACAATGGAATATTATTCAGCCATAAAAAGAAATGAAATTGAGCTATTTGTAGTGAGGTGGACGGACCTAGAGTCTGTGATACAGAGTGAAGAAAGTCAGAAAGAGAAAAACAAATACCGTATGCTAACACATATATATGGAATCTAAAAAAAAGAAAGAAAGAAAGAAAATGGTTCTGATGAACCTAGGGGCAGGATAGGAATAAAGACGCAGACATAGAGAATGGACTTGAGGACACGGGGAGGGGGAAGGGTAAGCTGGGACGAAGTGAGAGAGTGGCATGGACATATATACGCTACCAAATGTTAAATAGATAGCTAGTGGGAAGCAGCTGCATAGCACAGGGAGATCAGCTCGGTGCTTTGTGACCACCTAGAGGGGTGGGATAGGGAGGGTGGGATAGGGAGATGCAAGAGGGAGGGGATAAGGGTATATGTATATGTATGGCTGATTCACTTTGTTATACAGCAGAAACTAACACAAGAATGTAAAGCAATTATACTCCAATAAAGATGTTAAAAAAATAAAAGCTCCTGGGTGAAATTGTCACAGGTGGTCAAACGACACAAATTTCCAGTTATGCAAGAAATAAGTCTTGGGGATGTAATGTACAGCATAGTGACTGCAGTTATAATACAATATTGTATATTTGAAAGTTGCTAAAGAGAGTAAATATTAAAAATTCTCATCACAAGAAAACAAATTTTGTAACTCTGTGGTGATGAATGTCAACTAAACTTACTGTGGTAATCATTTCACAATATGTACATATATCATTATGTTGTACACCTAAAACTAATACCATGTTATATGTCAACTGAATCATTTTTTAAAAATAATAAAAATAAGCTCCTTATCTTATCTCAAGATAAATTTTAAGTATGTAGACCCGCTCTGAGATTATAATGGCATTAGCTCTGAGTCTTGGCGTTTGAGCATGTCATTTTTCAAGTCAACCTTCAGCTGACTGTTATGCGGTCTTAGTTGGTCTTGAGTAGACTCTGCCTATCATTTGGTCTTTTGGCCTCTGAGATACAGACAGCATATACCAGTGATGCTGTAGGATTATGTGGGAGACAGTAAAGAAATAGAAAATTAAAAACAATAAAATCTAATTACACGGAGTTTCGCTTAAAACAAAAATTGATTGAGTTCTGCCCAAAGTGGCTTGTTGTTTCCTGTGCCAGGAACTACTGTGCAGGCCCAGCAGGAAGTGTGCTACAGAGCAGGATCGCATTACACCCTTGTTTTATGGTTCATTTCACTTATTTAATGCAATCCGAGAACCTGCAAAAGGAACATGTTCGAAGGAGGGAATAGGCTTTTTGTCTTGTTTTGTTTTTTTTAAGTTTCTTTGAATCAAAACATTTGTTTTTACAAGGTGCTTATAGTCCCAGAGAAAGAGGACTTCCAGAATTGCATGGTGAAGACATTTCTCTTTGCCACAAAATTTAAAGCAGGACCCGACGCTGAGTTATGTCTAGGGTGGTTGAGTTATGTCTGTTCCCTTTGCTGGTCTACTCAGGTCATTTTAAACATGAAGAATTACAACCATGCCCATGAATGGTCTATCATTTTGAATTCCGTATCAGCTCCTCCTAGGGTCTCTGATTTGACTGAGAGCCCATGATGTTGGGGGGGACATGGGAGGAAAGGAATATATTTAACGTGCAAAAGAGCGATTCATTTGTCAAGCAACACAACGAGTTCCTTTGGCTGTATTGCTTGCAAATGTGTGAACTGAACAGCTGGACTGCCTTGTGGTGGCAGACGCCACTCCTCACACACTGCCTCTCTTCCTCTCCAGAGACCTGAGTATGAACAACATCAGTCAGCTTCCCCCGAATCCTCTGCACGGTCTCCGCTTCCTGGAGGAGCTGTAAGTATCAGCGGAGTCGTGCCGCATCTAGTCAACACTGGACACGTTCTTGTATTTGTCTCTCGTCCTTACTGTGAGAACCAGATAAAACAAGGCAGGAAAGCTGTCAGCACCAACGATCTGGGCACATGAGGAAACACTTAGCTGGGAGGGGAAAAGAAAGAATCGCTTAGGATTCTGGAAATCAACTTATAAAAGGGTTTACCATGAAGCTACAACTTTCTAAGGTGAGGCTGAGCCAAACAAATTAAAAGTTTAAAACAAAAGCTGTTTAAAAGAGCTGGAGAGCTCTTTGGAAATAGTTAAGCAGCAGGATATTAGAAGTTTGAATACTGGTTCATGTTTATTAAAATTGCAAGTAAAGCCATAATCAAAACCAAAAATTGCCTCTTGGTTTGGCTTATGACGGGGAGAATTGCGTCCTCATTTCATAGCACCAAAACTTCTTGTCCTAATCACTTTTAATTACTGTTTTCCTACTTTTAAATTGAGCTTCCCTGAAGGCTTGAACTGAAAACCATGAAATCCACAGAGGACTTAAAACTGGTCTCTCCCAAACTCACTGTAAAAAAATAAAATTCAATTTTTTTAAAAAGGAGGAAGCTAAAATTAGCTAATGATACACAGAGGAATCTTGATTAAGTCTGGTAATCACTTTCCAGAAGATGAAAAAGAACTCTATAAACCAAAATCTGCATTTAAAAATTCATTTGATCCTCTTACTCTTTTGAGGGACGGGGACTTAGGGGAGGGATGCACCGTCGTCATAGGCTTCATGAAGAAGGTTTGGCACCATCAGCTAAATAAATCCTCTGACTGTTGATTAAAGGAATTGTTTAGGCAATGACCTCTTTTGAAAATACCCCTTTTGTAATTCCTAGAGTCCGGGTCCAATTTGGGGAGTAATTTAAATTGTTGATGTACCACACGATCCACCTTGGGAGGTGGAAAGAACCATCCATCACAACCAAATTACACTACACTGATCATTTTTTTTCAAGAGGATAATATTCTCAAATTTCTCCCCTTTAGAGTTGGATCTATATTTATTTTTGATGGCGTTAGCTTTCTCACAAATGTTATTATTTTACTACTGAAATCAGCTGAACATGCCCAGATTGTTATCGAGGAGTATGGTAAAAAAGCTTAGATTACTAGATTATACAGCAAGTTTTTATTATTCAAAAAATGGATTTTCACTTTGGGTTGTCCAGGCTCCTCTTCTCTTTTCTCTCTGGCCATTTCTGTTGCTAAAAATTTAACCCTCATCAGGACTGGGACCATGTCTGTCCTAGTCTTGGCTGGTGTGTAATGAATAATCAATACATTTTTGATGAATGAATGAATGAACTAAAGAGAAAGCAAAACATGTAAAAGGAGCTTCTTATACTTGTTCACCGCCTTAGAAAAAAGTAACAGATTTCGTTGACATGAGCCAATATTTTTAGATTATTTTTAGCAAATTTCAAACATCAGCATTTTTTTCTTGTTTACATTCTTCTCATCTGCCCTCTCTCACCATAATTAATATACAATACTTAGTCCTGTTTACCCCCATATTTCTAAAATATGCATTCCCACTGCCTTTCTCTTTAATTTCCTTATAATATGCAATGGCAAAATGCTTCCATTCTCCTTCAACATACACCTCAGCTTTCGACCACAAACCAAATCAATAAATAATTCACTTCCCCAAGGACTTTGTTTAATAGAGTTCCTCCTTTGGTGACCCAATTCATTCAGAATAACTCCTCTTTCTTCATGAGGTGAATGTTAATTTTCATCCAAGACCAGTTCTTCAAAAGATAATCGAGAGAAAAAAAAAGGGAAAGAAGGTGAGGGAACTACCATTTGAAAAGCCTATTTTTACAAATTACCTTATTTTTATGTCTCTGGAAACTCCATCAAGTATCTTGACCATGGAATCATAGAATTTCAGAAGTAGATGGGACCCTTTAAAGACTATTCATTCCATTTCCTCCTTCTGTTCTGAAATTCCCTCTGCTGAGCTGGCCAACTTGATGAATTTAAAAGCAAGACCACTTTCCCATATATAATTCTGTGCTGCATCTAACTGATGTTTTGAAGACATCATTATTCATTTAGTGGCAAAAGGGGATAATATTTATAGAACCTGGAAAAATGATCAACTCTGCTTGGTCTATTCCTTTCTTCCCAAGGATAAATTTAGGGTGTTGTGGGTTTAAACACACACATCCACTTAGCAGAGCATTTTGATCATGCCTTTGTTATGTGCTGATTGTTTCCGTTAGACTCAGCTATGTTTAAGTCTGTATTCTCTTCTGGAGTATAAGATCTTCGAAATAATAATATAATTATACTGACAACAGTAATAGCTTACTCTGTGACAGGCACTGTTCAAAATGTTTTGCACACATTATCCCACTGAATCCTCTTAACAACCCCATAAAAGTAGATATTATTATTATTCTCACTTCAAAATTATAAAAAAAAAACAAGTACAGAGAAAACAAGGAACTTACCCAAGATAATGGAGTACATAAGTGTCAGAACTAAGATTCAAATTCACTTTCAAAGCCATACTCAGAAAGCAGAAGGAGGCTTTGGAATTGTTCTTCATTCACCTGTGCTTTTCTTTTCCCCGATAGTACCTAGTATAGTGGTCTGCACAGCTGAACACTTTAAACTCTTGTTAAACTGAGCTTTGTAATGATAGGTGTGTTCATCTGTCTGTGTCTGGGTATATGTGAGGGAATGAAAAAGAGTGAGACAGAAAGCAAGAAAGAGCTGTCTACCCAGCAGGGAGAGATTGGATATGCAGGTTATTTGTTCACTACCCTCATATATTGGCTCTGAGAAAAGTATCATCATAATTTTCAGGTGCAGAATTTCACATTACTCAACAGGAACAAAACCTTAGTTATTATTTTTACATATGCATAAATATACTTAAGCAGCATGTTTTATATAGTATTCTACTGGGTTGGCCAAAAAATTCGTCCAGGTTTTTCCATAAGATATTATAGTAAATAAATGACCTAATAATAAATGAACTAATAGATGACCATCCATACAGCTAGAAACAGACATTTAGATATCTGTTATTGTATGTGTTACATCTGTTGTTGTATCTGTTATTGTGTGTGTGTATCTTTTGTTATGACAAACTGTTCAAATGTTAAACTGTTCTGAAAGTATTCTTTTGCTCAGTTTACTCAGCTCATCTCTATGCTTTATTGTTTATCCATTCAGAAACTGGTACTGATATTCTCAATGATATTAATAAAATTCCCACCACAAAACTCAATTTTTAAAAAACACTATTAATAAAGCCAAGTTACCACTCTTCCCCTTAGCTCTAATTGCCCGATTATCATCTCCCTAGTTTAATCCATCTATGTCATAAGCTGTGTAGACAGTCATGATTCATCTCTCATCCATCACTGGTCCCGTATTTCAAAATCCTCTAAGAATCAATAAAGTCCTAGAGGTATCCCTAACGTATTTTTTAAATATATTGTAACCCTGGAGAAAGTGGCTATGTGGAGCAAATATTTAAGAAGAATTAAAGCCATCACGATTAATGGTCTTCTTCTCTTCCTCCTGACCTTCTGGAACACTTACTACCTGTGTCACATGTCTTGGTACATTCAAGTCTTGTTTGTTATTTGTTATTTTTGTTTTATGACTCTGCAAGGTGACCAGGCATGCACAGGCCAAACGCCCTGCTGGTGCAACGTGATATCACAAGGAAGAGAGAGAGCCTTTTTCCTAAAAAAAAAAAAAAAAAATCTGAGTGTGGTTAGGCTGTGTGCTGTGTAGAGAGGAGAACACAGTACCTAGAAGCAGAAACAAGCCCAGGACTCCTGTCCTGACTCTGCCACTTACTAGGGGATAATCCACTTGACCTCCCTGGGCCTCAGGGCATGATGGTGAAAGCCGCCCTTGCCTGTTTTGAGATTCTGAGGATCAAATGAAATGATGATGAAAGAACTTTGGTAAACTATAATTTACATATTGAGTTGTGTTAGCGAAATGAAAACACTTTCAAGAGGATTCTCACTTCCTTCTTTCCTATTTCATGAGCTTGATTTTGGAGTAATCCCAGGGATCCAGGATTTGTGAAGGAAAAACTGTTTCCAACCATGAGGTTTAACGGATATAGGCAACCAGTGCAGATAGTTTTTACCAAGTTTGAACACCCTGAGCAATAATTGCATTTCTCTCCAACAGTATCTCTCCCAGTTCTATTTCTTCAGTTCTACTAAGGACTTCATGTTGATGTTTGCTATTTGGACAAATAATAAATCCCACATTTGGTCCATCAGAGTGTGGTTCAGATGTTAGGAACTAAAAGGTCGTGCCTAATGCTGATATGTACAAGTTCCTTTAAACTTAGATTGGTAGCTTGATTAAACCAGAGGGAAAAATGAATTGTTACCATTTTAAACAGTCTAAGTTAAAGGCCTTTGTTTCCCAGTACTATTGTAAAATCTTCCCAGATTCTAATGCTATTGGAATCAAATACTCGATTTAGGAAGGAAACCTGAGATGCTCTAGGGAGGTTTGTTTTTAGGTTACTATTGTTCCCTGGAACTGTTTGCTCATATTATGGTTGGCCTTAAAGAATCTCTGTATAAATAGTAGATATCTATTATTTCAGATGAAATTAGTAATGAGAAATACCACCAAACTTCCTGAAAGTACAGTCTATGCTTGTTACTTCTACTTCCTCATCATGTTGCTAAAAATAGTGAGAGCTGTCCTGCCTGTCTTTTGAGATTTTTGTCTGAAGATCAAATGAATTGATGATGAAAGAACTTTGGTAAACTCTAATTCACCTATTGGATTGTGTTAGTGAAATGAAAACACCTTCTTGCCCATAAATAATCTTCCTGACCCTTGGCCTTGTCAGAGTGCTCAGTCTCTCCTTTTCATAGATCTGGTAATTGATTATAAATGCTGCCTCTGGGCTTCCCTGGTGGCGCAGTGGTTGAGAGTCCGCCTACCGATGCAGG